ATAGTTTTAATAAATTGGACATAAAGGGAACTCTGCTGATAGCTTCTGGGGAAAAAATTCCTTTTTGATAAAAAGAGAGATTTCCACGAGAAGATTTCCTCTCTTTTTGCTTTGGGTGAGACTGTATGAAGAGGTGATGTTTGGGTCTGTGGTAGCCATATTGTTTGTTTTGAAAATTGGGAGCCAAGAGAATTATAGCAAAACTGTCCCAGAGCACTGACAGTTCAAGGGCTGCTAGAGGTAGCCAACTGTGGACCAGTATAGTCTAGAATTCCAGTACTCTTGCCTGGAAAATCCCATGTATGGAGGAGCCTGGTAGGCTACAGTCCATGAGGTCGCTAAGAGTCGGACATGATTGAGCCACTTCACTTTCACTTTTAACTTTCATGCACTAGAGAAGGAAATGGCAACCCACTCCAGTCTTCTTGCCTGGAGAGTCCCAGGGATGGAGGCGCCTGGTGGGCTGCCCTCTATGGGGTCGCACAGAATCAGTCACGACTGAAGCGACTTAGCAGCAGCAGCAGCATACTCTAGAATTCTTGTTCTGAGAGATAAGTCTTTACTGTTTAGAGTTTTAATTGGGCATTTTATTGCCTACATGCAAAAGTTTCATAATAAACATCATGTTTTATATTGCTATATTCTACACAGAACTGAGCAAAACCTGGCATTCAACAAATTCATAGAAAAAAATTGTAATCAATCAGATAAGATCATGGGTCATGACAGCAGTACTGATACATCTTTGTAAGATATAATTCTTCCCTATAAGAGTATCCAATGAAAGTAAAAGTTGCTCACTCATGTCTGACTCTTTGCAACTCTATGGACTATATAGTCCATGGAATTCTCCAGGCCAGAATACTGGAGTAGATAGCCATTCCCTTCTCCAGGGAATCTTCCCAACCCAGGGATCAAATCCAGGTCTCCCAGATTGCAGGTGATATCTTTACCAATTGAGCCCCCAAGGAAGCCCAAGAATACTGGAGTGTGTAGCCTATCCCTTCTCCAGGGGATCTTCTCAACTTAGGAATTGAACGGAGGTCTCCTCTTTACAGGTGGAATCTTTACCAGCTGTGCTACCAGGGAAGCCATACTTATTGTATCCAATAGAACTTAAAAAAAAAAAAAAAACCTACACTGAGATAAATAACTAAGCCACCTAATTTAAAGTTACCATAGTCCATGCTAACACACCTGTACAAGAAAACATTATTAAGCAAATACCACCACTGGGATGTGCTTTCTTTATACAAGCCTTAGGAAGGAGTATTAAAACAAAAGATCTGTATTTTCTTTCCTTGACAACATTTCTCACATAATTGACCACTATCTCATTCATAATTATGAATATCAAACTTTATTGCTTTATTCAACAGATTGAAGAAGACAAGGTGCTGACTCCCCCCCAAAAAACAAAGTTAGGAAGAGTAAGATGCCTCCATTCTGCTCATTATTTTTCCAATTAAACTATCATCCAGAGGAAAAAGAAAATCAGTTTTATCACAGTTATTTTATGAATATTTAGCATGTGAAAAATTTACATCTATCCTCTTCTATGACTATTTACTTTTTTTCTTTACTTTTTCTCCTTTCTAAATTCTAAAGTATTTAGGTGAAATTTTACATATTCATTTATTCTTTCACAGTGGCAAAAACTTTTAGTTTTCAGCCCTGAATCTGTTTCCCCTTCTTTTTTCATAGATTCTGATTTTCTCCAAGGTAGTGGCATGCCAAAGGAAAGACACATTTCCCAACCTGTCGGGTACCTAGAAGTAGCCATTTGACACAGTTCTGGTAGGTATTGAAATCTATGGGGAGAATGTCCACATGACAAGAAAGACAAAATGCTCAAAGAGAAGGCTTGTTTGGCCCTTCCTCTCCCATTTTTTCTTTTTTTAATCTCATCAAGAGCCCTCTCCCATTTATTAACCAAAAAATCAAACAGATCCTTACCACCAGGGCAGTGCAAAGAAAAAGGGGAAGTAGGAAATGAGGAATTTCCTTCCTCCAGGCTCCAATCATTCTCAAGTTCTCAACTCAGGATGATTTTACCTCTAAGGGACATTTAGCAACTTGTGGAGAAAGTCCTGGTTGTCATAACCGGGTGGGTGAGTGGGTGGGGTGTGCAGAGGCCAAGGATGCTACTAACCATCCTACTAATACAATGCACCAGACACCTCACACACACGCAACAAAAACTTATGAGCCCCAAATGCCAACAGCGCCAAAGTTGAGAAATCCTGAGCTAGAAGACCCTCTGTTAGCTTCCCCCACCCCCTCCTTCTTTGGGCCTAGAAAGCAGGCATGATGCCTGAGGTAAAGCATGATCTTAGGAACATAGGAAACCACCAACACGAGAGATGAAGCCTGATTCCTTGTTCAGATGCTTAAGCAACTCTCTTCTCCTGCCTTTTATCATTAGGAGAGATAAATAAATCCTTATTTACTTAATCCATTATTAGCCATATTTTCTATTGCCTCACAGCCAAATGTATTTATAAGCCATACATTTACCATTCACTTATGGTCTACTTTATGTTCAGACATGGAGCTAAGCATTCTGAATGATATGATAAATTAGGTATATTTTTTAACCTCTGGGAACTTATTCTCCAGTGAGGGGGCCAACCATCAGCAAGTGTGAATGGTGGGCTACTCCTAGCATGAATAACATGTGGGAGCTCACAGTAAGGATAGCAGGGTGATAGAGGAAAGAGCACTCTAAAGAAACAAATGTTTTCCCATCCTACAGTTAGTATATATCTGGCGGGGGGCATAGAGGAGAGTAGAAAGTAATCCATAAAGGAAGATTAGTATAAGGAAAGCACAGAAGCCTAAAATGTCAAGTGGTATTGGGGAAAATGGTAAGGAGGAGTCAAGTGAATGGAATGAAGAGCAAATTGAGGAGGAATTCCAGGTGGAAAGTATTTTAATCTAAAAAGGGAGACCTAGGAGTAAACTGTGAAAAGAATTGAGTGCCCTCAGAATTATACATATTAGCATCCAAAATATAAAGAACCACTGGCCATAGCTGATAAAAGATCTGTAAGACCATACCTGTGTTTTAGAAAAATAGGTAACAGGTAAACTGGTCTCGGATGATTTCATTTACAAATAATTAAATATAATTGAGGAATCATAACTTTCTATTTACATTCTAATAAGATAGATACCAAACTTCACTTCAAAATACTTAAATGTGGCAAAAGTGTATTGTTGAACTGTTGCAGTTTCCGACGTTACTGTTAATTCCAATTGTGTTTTGTTTACAAAAACTACAAATTAATATTTGTTAGATAATTCATAAAATAATTCCTTTTGTATAAAAACTTTAAAAAAGAATTATAAAAATAAATGATTATTATGCTTTGCTTTAAAGAATGTTAGAGATGGGTTTGTTTCAGCACATGGAAACCCAGAGAGGTATTTATCAATTATACCCACTAATCAATACTGTCCCTCAGAAAGTTGCTAATAACATTGGAGCGTATGTTTATATCTGTATTCTCTAGCTATAGCTAGTTCACTTTCCTATAAAAATTGTAACTAATTAAAGAAATGTGAAGGACGATATAGACCCTGTCACTGGATAACCATGTGGAAATAATAAAAATAGAATAAAATATAAGAATTTCAGGGTTGGAAGAGACTTCAGAATCAGGAAACTCGGCCAACCATGAAAAGAGTCAGGAAACTCGGCCAACCATGAAAAGAGTCATCAAACATTCAAATACTCTACCTGTAGCAAAAGGAGTTCTCAGCCTACCTTCTATGAATGTATATTCCATCTTCAATTTCAAAACAATTCAGACATCTGTATTTGAAAATATGTTATGCCTAAACATAAAGGAAACTTTCACAAAATGAAGCCCCACTAAGGGAATAAAAGACTGAGAGAAAGTACTTTAGAGTGGAAGGAGGGTGACTATGGAAAGGAGAGTTGCTTCAGAGGGCTTTTCTGAAAACCTACACGGCAGGAAGTCTACTACAGTAGGCTGAAAGACTGACTCCCTCAATTTCTGCTTATGTTAAGAGGATTGGAAAGACTAACTGGAGAATGGCAGGCTTACAGATAACAGTTACTTCTTTTCATCAAACCGTGTAATCGGAAGGCCTGAGTAATGATTAACTTCCACTTGCTCTGTGAATCACTCAACACTCCGCTGAGCAGGTAGACTTATATTCATTCTCTGCCAAGAGCACGGTAAACCTAATGTTTTTTGTACTTAACATTTAATATTTTAAGTACGTGCATGGCCCTTGCTTCTAAGCTCATTTCAGAAAGCTGGTGTTCTGTTAGGCCGATTGAAATGCTGAGGTATGTTATACCTTTCATACACATGTACCTCCACCTTTCCCAAGTGATATTTTTATATCTATGATCCTATTTATAATTAAGCACAATTAATTTTTGAGAAATATGACTGGAATCTTCATGGACGGCATGATCATTTATTTAAGCAAAAATAGTCTACTGTAGTTTCAGTATAACAAAAAAGGAAAAAGTATATGAAGTATCTATAAAATGGCAGAGTAACAGACACGAGGTTAGTTATCCGAATTCATGTTTCCTAAGTCCTATATGTATCACTATGGTCCTGGAAATGAAAAAAGAAATAGTATAATACCTTTGTGGAGAGCAACTACTCATGATTCAGAATGATCACAAATGAATCAAATATTAGACACAGAATTTTCCTCATCTCTATAACACTCTAACAACCTCTTCTGGAATAAATCATTCCACTAGAAAATCTCAACCTAAATAATTTTAAATTCACTGCAGGTGGCTTTTCATTTCTACTCACAAAGCATTGGGCTGGCCGGTCAGGAGCCAGGAGCCGAAGGAGAAGGTTGGAAATGTTTGGACTCCCTCTCTGTTCTGCCCGGGACTCGACTGCCCCACAATGCATAATCTATTAGCTGCTCTTCGCGGGGGATCTACGGAGTGACATCTCGACTGGAACCACACAGATCTGAAAACCACTTCGCAGGAAATGTGGGGAAGAGCAACTTTCCTAGCCCTGTCAAACTACAAGGCTGCACCGGCCCCAGAACGAGCCGGAGGGCCCGGGAGGGAGAGCCCGAGGCTGGAGGCAGCTCCTCGGCGCTCCGCCCCGGCCTCAAGCGAGCGTTTTCTCGGGGAGGAGGCATTGTTCCTCCATCTGCTCAGCCTCCGCGTTTCGCCAGGAAACCCTCCCCGCTCTCTGCTAATCTTTTCCCTAACGCTTCGGTACCTCTCTGCCGATTTCTCGGCTCCCGGTCTCTGGTCCCTGGACACCGCTCTAGGGTGAAAGGCTGCAGCGACTGGGGCGCCGCTCTAAGGCGTCGGAGGCGACTGCACTCGTCCGCCGGAGCTCGGGCGTCGTGCGCGCCTCGCTCTCGCTTCCTGCCTTCTCTCGGGGCTCTCCGGCTCGGACGGGCTCCCCCGGCCTCTTAGCCCGACTCCGGCCCGCCTTCCCCGCGGTCTGTACTCACAACCGCGCCGCGCACTCCGCGTCGCCGCCGAGTCGTCGGCGCGCCGACACGACGCCCCCCAGCCCGCAGACCCGGACGCGGGCTCGGAAGGGTCAGGGCGCCGCGCGAGGCGGGGGAGGAGGGGCGCGGCGAGCCGGGGCAGGTGGGGAGCGCGGGGGGCGGCGCGGGGCGGGGGGAGCGGGAGCCCAGGCAGAGAGGAGATGCATTTGCTTCGAAAACGCCAGTATGGACAGGACGGAGGGGGCAGGAGCGGAGAAGAGCCGAGAACACCCACCAGGAGGTGTGGGCAAAGGGGGCAATTTACAAAGTGCCGGGGCGCGAGCTGGGAACGGAGGAAGAAGGAGGCTGGAAGGAGGAAAGAGAAAATAAGGGCAAGTTCCCACCTCTCCCCAGAAGGTCGAGTCTGAAAACGCTTCCCCTGGACAGAGTTAAACAGGGACTGACCGTGTTGTGCAGGGTGGATTTTAAAAGGAATTAAGTGTCGTGTAGTTTTGCTATATTAGACTCCTCTCTAGACTCGCTCAACTCTGGTAAATGACCCTCCAAGTAAATGAACTGCCAGAAAGAAATGGAAGCTGAATTTCCTCCGCGGCGGAGTCGTCTAGAGGTACTGTCTATTCGTTACAGGAAAATAACAATCTGGGAGGTTCCACGACCCCCGAGTGCTAAAGAAACCACCCAATTCATTAAAGTTCATCATTTTTTATTGCTTTTATTTTCGTCAGAGGATAGAGGTGAGGGGTTGGCACCAAGAAACGTTTAAAACAGCTCTCTAGGTAGCATTCTTTTCCAAAACGATGAAACGACTTCCTAAAACAGCTAAAAGGGGATTGGGAAACTCAGTTACTCGGCTGGGAGAAAGGAGGGAGACAGAGGGGGTAGAGAGAGGCGGGGGTTGGGGGGGGGGGGGTTAGGGAGAGAGAAGAATTGAAACTCTAACCGACGTTACCACCCCCCAGGAACCCTCTTCTCCCGCCCCCGCCCCAACCCGACGGAATTGAAAAAGGGTTAAGCGTACGGAGGAGAGAGCAGGGCAGGGTGGGTGGAGGTGGGGTAGAAGAGGGAGAGGCGAGGAGTAGGAAGTTCTCGGCAATCCCGAGATTCAGAAAAACGCCGGAGCTCGGTGGACGCAGGAAGCTCCCTTACCTTTCTCTCTAAGCCCCGTTTGCACCTGATCTGCAACCATAAATACTTCGCGATGCTTAGTGTGCAGCCAAACGACGGCCGAATGTTAAACAATTCTTCACTCTCCCTCCCCTTTGGAAAAAACAGGCTCAAAAGAATGTTAATACTGTTCTCGTTATCCAGCCGCTCCAAAACATTCCGCTTTGTCGCGAAGAGAGACGAAAACCCAGCGCTTGGGCACGCGTTTATGTATTTATATATTATGCGGTCGGTATATAAACATATATACGTTTTCTGCGGATAAATCCAAAAAGAAAAGCACCACAGATGCCTCTGAAAGCGGGAGGGGACGGGGAAAGGAAAAACTTGGCAAGCCAAATGTATCCAAAGATTTCGTACCAAGAGCAACCTGCTTCAATATGCAGAATTCCCGAGAAGATTTAGAGGGAGAAGGAAAAAAAAAATTAAAAATAAAATACCCAAAGCACACACTTGAAACTGGAAGACGACTAAGACGCGTGGAAATGGAGAGGATGAGACGATCTCCCGAGGGTACAGATCCGTCAGCTAAGTGAGCAGTCGCCTCCGAAAATCACAGTCGAGGAGGTGGCTGCAGACGCGTCCCCTGCTCCGGTCCCCGCCGCCGCCGCCGCTGCTACCTGTAGACACGCGCGCACACACACACACACACACCCGCGCGCACCCACGCGGGCACACACACAGCACAACCTCCTCTCCCTCTCTCCCCCCTCTCTGTGGCGTTGCTGGGTGCAGAGTCTGAATCAAGCTAGACCCATCCTCCCGACCCCGTCCTGCCCCCGCAGAGCCACGATTCCCTCCCCCGCCACTCTCTCTGCGCCCCGTTTATTACACAGCAGTCCCTTCCCTGCAAGCCCCCCTCCCCCGGGCCGGAGCCACAATCGCCGTGAGGGTGGGCCTCGGGGGCATGGGTCCAGCGGTGGCAGACGTGATGCGGGTCGTGGTCCTTCCCTTTTTACAAGTTCCGCCCTCCTCCCTCCCTCCTTCAGCAGCGACCGAGCATCCTCCGTCCTCAGCACCCGCAGCGCCCGCGGCGGCAGGAGGGGTGAAGGGCCCCCGGCGTCACGTGTGACGTTCTCCGAACCCCTCGCCAGAGCTGGCGAGTGAACCGCGCGGCCGGCAAGCTGCGAGGCCTCCGATGCGATGAGTTTCTCTGTTCTAGGCGTCCTGATGCTTCCCTTCCAGGCGTTTTCGTCTTGGTGACTGAGAGTGAGGAGTTGGAGGCAACAGCCTTCTACTATGCTTCTTCAGTTTTTTCTTTTTCTTCCCCTTCCCCCTTGGTAGATCCCTTGCCACAAAACTCGCCCCTGTTTTCTGTTTCCACCAGCCAGAGGCAGTTAAGCTCCGAATTAAAATATTGGTTGTAGTCTCGTCCGTGGGAGTCGTGTAAATGCAAAGCCACTGCCTCTGGCCTCTTCCCGCTGGTTGCACCCACGTCTTCTGCCCCTGGATTGGTGATTTTTAAGAATTCATCATAGCTAATCAGTGTTGGCTTTTGTGACGGGTGTGACTCACTATACCACATTGTTTACACCTACACACCTCCTAGCAGCTTCTCTGTGTGAATTTTAAATGCAAGTGAGTTGGGGGACAGGGGCCTGCCAAGGGAACCATTGAATTAACTGACTGCAACTTGTAATAATATTAATAAGAATAAAATTCACAAGTAGGAAATCCCTAGGAGAGATCCGTGACACATGGTCTTGAAAAGTGTTTTTGCTTGTTTAAGTGCTTGCTTCATATTTCTCATTTGCATGTAGGCTTTAATCTGTAAAATTCAGGTCAAAGAAAGGAACTTCAACCAACACTTAGAATGCAGTTGCTCTAACATATTACTCATTAATTAATAATAATAAATAAGAAACCTAAGGTTCCAGAATATGTGATCTGATTTTTGAAAAATGATCTTTAAATATGACATATTAGTCATAAAAAGGAACAAATTTGGGTTATCTGCAGACATGTGGATGGACCTAGGGCTTCCCAGGTGGCGCTAGTGGTGAGGAACCTGCCTGCCTATGCAAGAGACATAGGGACTCAGGTTTAGTCCCTGGGTTGGGAGGATCACCTGGAGGAGGGCTTGGCAACCTACCCCAGTATTCTTGCCTTTATAATCCCATGAACAGAGGAGCCTGGGGATGGTCAATATGGTGGCAGAATCCAGCACAACTGAAGCAACTAAGGATGCAGCATACACGTGGAAGGACCTAGAGACTGTCCTACAGAGTGAAGTAAGTCAGAAAGAGAAAAACCAATATCATATATTAATGTATATATGTGGAATCTAGAAAAAATTATATAGATGATCTTATTTGCAAAGCAGAAATACAGACACATGTAAAGAACAAACATGAATATTAAGGGGGAAGAGGGGAGGAGGAGTAGGAAGGATTGGGAAATTGGGATGGATACATATAACTACTGATACTGTGTATAAAATAGGTAACTAATGAGAACCTACTGTATAGTATAGGAACTCAGTGCTCTGTGGTGACCTAAATGGGAAGGAAATTCAAAAAAGGGGGTATGTGTATATGTATAGTTGATTCACTTTTCTGGACAGCATAAACTAACACAATATTATAAAGTAACTATATTCTTGCCTGGAAAATCCCCATGAACAGAGGAGCCTGGTGGGCTACAGTCCATGGGGTTGCAAAGAGTCAGACGCAACTGAACACACACACACACACATATACCAATGAAAATAGAAAGTCTTAAATATAACATATTCCTCCTACTTAAAAGGAATTTAGTACCATGTTTTTCTTGACATAGTTTTAGAATTCAGTGTATCTTGTCAACTTTTCCTACCCGCCCCCCGCCCCCCGCCCTTTTCATTTGAAGTAACGTTTAGGTGATGTGTTGACAAATAGTAGATTTTGATATTGCTCCCAGGAAAGTGAAATTTCATTCAAGTAAATCATATATCTGATTCTTGGTGACAGATCTACCCTGCCCAGTTTATCTAAATCCTATGAAAGTTCTCTGGAATCTGGAGAGTTCTCTAGAATTTCCTTGAAAAGATGAGAAATAAGTATCTATTGAAATATCAATGAAAGTACCTGACTGACTAGTTTCATCTTGCATGGGATTACACAATGAAGGTAACCTGATAGAGGGTATCATTATGATAACCACAGAACCTTATTTCTTTCTTTTTAAAAAAGAAATAAGGATGATTTGATATGTTGTCCATAACATCTTACAGGAAAAAACCCCAGTGAACATTTTGGCCAACCCAATTAAAGAATATAAAGTTTTGTATACTTCTTTTTTCCCAAGGCTATGGGTACTGTATTCTAAATGCATCCGTTGAAGTTACTATCAGAATCCTAAAGGTAATGACTAAACGTTTTTCATTTTTAATGTTTGGTATTTATAGTATAGATCAATTCTAAATAGGTTCCATTGTGTTTTTTCATTATTCTTTTCACAGCTATACTTTATCAGCTGGGCACTATTATCTCATTTTTATGTTAATCTAGCAAAAACTCAAAAATTTTAACACAATAAAATTGTCATACAAACAGCATTTATCACTATCTGTAAATACAAGCTAATGAACCAAATTCTCTTGCCTATTTTTTCTCCACTTTCTCAATTAAAACCCCTGAGGGAGATAAACCCATACCCTACCACTGAATCCCACAAGCAATTTAAAAAACAAGAAATTTTGCTTTCTATTTTTCTCTTCATTTGTTGATATGCAGTTAAGAGCTGGGACTCTGGGATCAGATTGCTTAGTTTGAATCCTGGATCTACACTTAATATGTTATTGCCTGGTGCAATAATCTCTCTAAACTCATATTACACCGCTGCGAAATACAGATAATAATAGTATCTACTTTGTAGGAATGTTGTGAGGATTATAAAAAAAATGCATGTAAAGCTCATGACACAGGAGTAACTAATTTTTCAGGGTTCATTCTATTTTTAGTGTCTATGTGATATGCTTCCTCCACAGATTCAAACTTCAATATATGTAGTGACATTTGGGCTTAGTGTTAAAAGCTGATCATGAAATTTGGTTGCATTTATGATACCCATAACATGAAAATAATTAATGATTAGTGAATTCCTAGGTCCTCCCTCTTTTCTTTTTTCTTTATGGGGCTATATCTGTCTTCTATTAGCTAATTTTAGTGTAAGGGAGCATATTAAATGTAGATAAGACAGAAAATGAAACACTAAACATATGAATAGGTGATGAAGTCATCAATAAAATATAAGAAATTGGACTCAATTTACATTGCAGATCATGTCATCTTCCAGGTTGTGACATTAACCCCACTGAATTTCATGGTCTTTTACCATGTTACATACTATTTGGAATAAATACTGGAACTCTCTGTAAAATCAATTACAAATAAAAACCTTGTGAAAATTTCCCAAACATATCTGTTGATCCATAGATGTGAAAGAAGATGTTAATATAATGCATTTGTAAAGTATTAGCATTTTCTGGGGAAAAAAAAAAACACAAGTTCAGAAGAGACAATCTATTGAGTGGAAGTGGGGGGAAAATAATTACCAGGGGAATAGTGAAACTGACTTTGAAAATGTATGTATACAAGTTAACTGTTGTGATGGTAAAATTTCCTTTCTCAGAAATAAAAATGAAAATGTCAGAAAAGGAATGTAGGCTTGAGGGTGAATATTATATTGTATTTTCAGATACTTCATTACAGTGGTATGTAGACTCAGTTTGCTTTCTGTCTAGAAAGTCATTAAGTGGGAAGATTTTTTTTCCCAGTAATTATATATATAAAGAAAATTAAACAGCAAGTTCTCCTAAAATAAAGAAAAAGCAAGGATATTACTCCATTCTTTGAAAAGACCAAAGACTCACAGCAGGCGGTTAGCACTTTTTTTTTTTCTTTCAAGGGGCTTCAGAAGAAAAAGTATTAATAAAATGTTATGCTTAGATGAAATTTTACTACAACCTTTCTCATAAACATATGTATTTTAGTTAAAATAGGTTAAATATAAATAATATACTGAGAAAGAGTTCATAGGGGCAATGAGAATTAATATTTCAGCTCTGAAAGAAATAAAACATAAACTCTCATAATCTGTCAAACTGTGGCAATGCAAGGTAGACCACCTGCTCAGATTCCTGGCAATGTTTTATTATAACCTGGACAAAAGATCAATGCTATTACTACAGAAGACAGATTCCCAACTTTTAGAATTCCCAGCATAGTCTGATAGTGTTTAGTATCCATTTGGCCACAGTCCACCTGGTCTCTAAGGCTAGTGCACCCACAAACCCCTTCTCCATTCCATACAGTCTGTATAGCAAGGTCAAATTCATCTTTTTATCTAGTCCTTACCAAATCAAGAGGCTTCCCTGATAGCTCAGTTGTTAAAGAATCCGCCTGCAATGTAGGAGACCCCAGTACAACTCCTGAGTCAGGAAGATCCCCTGGAGAAGGGATAGGCTACACACTCCAGTATTCTTGAGCTTCCCTTGTGGTTCAGCTGGCAAAGAATCTGCCTGCAATGTGGGAGACCTGGGCTTGATCCCTGGGTTCAGAGGATCCCCTGGAGAAGGGAAAGGCTACCCACTCTAGTATTTTGGCCTGGAGAATTCCATGAACTGTATATTTGCAACCATGGGGTCACAAAGAGTTTGACATGACTGAGCAACGTTCACTTTCACTTTACCAAATCAAACCATTCTTGAAATGCTTAATGAAACTGTATCTCCTATCATGTGAAATGCAAGCTCCTTATCCTGAGATCCCTATCTAACATACTCTCAACCCCGTACATCTTTATTCAGCTTCTCTCATTACTTCTCTTCCTAATCTCTACATTTCTCCCAAAAGATAAAATCTATTGGTCTCCAAGGACAATTCTAATGATTTCTTTTCTTGGGCTGTCCATCACCATCCCTGCCTACGAAACACTTCCAAAATTACTACCTCAAAGATCCATTCCATCAGAAATTATTTTCCCTTATTTACCCTGAATATAACTAATGCCCACCTCCCATAATACAGTTGCACAGTCTCTCTTGTGTTACCATTATTTCTGAATCTTTCGTCTCTCTTAGCTTGTTTATGG